CCATCAGGCTCCCGGGCGGCGCCCGCAGGACCCCGCGCTTGGGGCTGCGGGGTGCAGAGGGGACCGCGGGCTCAGGGGCGCGCTCTCGGGGGACAGGGAGGCGCAGCGGGCCAGGGGCGGCGCGGCCGTAACTTCTACTCAAACCCCATTGGCCAAAGCAAGCCACGTGCCCGGGGCCTGCCAATGGGCTGGCCGGGCGCCGGGCTCCGCCCTGGTGGGCGGGGCCAGGGCACACCTGTGGGAGGACAGCGCCCCCCCCCTCGNCCCCCCCTCGCAGCGGCCTCTGCGGCCACTTTCCACCCAAAGCCCCCTTTTCCTCTCCTCTCTGTCACCCCCTTGTCAAAATGCTTGTTGTCCCGTCCAGTGGCCTCCCGTGGTCAGAGTTTGTGCCATTTTTTTACGACTCTAAATTTTGCTAAAACACTCAGTGGGAAACTTACCGTTTCTAAGCTCAGGGCATGCCCTGGGGTCCCACTGCCCTGCGGGGCCCCCTCCGCTGCGTCCTGACGGACCCTCCGGTGCCTCCCGTGTGAGCTGAGACAGGTTCTGGAAACGGCCACACGCGAGGGCCCAGGGGATGCCCCGCGAGGCAGGGCGAGGGGCCTGGGCGCCTGGGCCTTGGACTTAGGGAGGGGCTGGCCTGGCACCAGCTCTGGGCAGACAGCACCCGCCCCCTCAGAGAGGAGCCTGACCCCTCTGCAGACCACCTGCCCTGAGCCCCTGGTAGAGGCTGGCCCCGGGGCCACACGGGCCACTGCGGGCAAATGCAGAGGGGCAGGGGGGCTGGACGGTGTGACAAGCCTGTGGGGCTCCCGGACGTGGGGTGAGCGGGGGATGTCCTGTCACCGGCTCATTGGTGCCCACCCCCCCCCAGTACATCGACGCCATCAGCAGCAAGCAAGGCGAGCTGGAGAGCTACGTGTCGGACGGGTACAAGACGGCGCTCACCGAGGAGAGGCGGCGGTTCTGCTTCCTGGTGGAGAAGCAGTGCGCCGTGGCCAAGAACGCCGCCGCCTACCACTGCAAGGTGAGGCTGCCCCCCGCCCGACACCGGGTCCTGCCTCGAGCCGTAACGGAAGCCGCCCAGTGCAGCTCGCCAGGCGTTTCGGTCCCCAGGCAGAGGGTTCCCCCGGGGAGGGTCCTAGACCGACAGGTCAGAGGCTGCGGGCATCGTCTGAGGCGCTGCCAGGTGCTTTTGAGAACAGCGTTGCTAACAGCCTGAGAGGGGTCTCCTCCGGCCAGCCCCTCGTGGAGGCTGCACTGCCAGGAGCCCCTCGTAGAGGCCAGCTTCGCCCCCAGGACACACTCCCCTGTAAGGATGGGCAGCTTTCGTGGGCCCCTGTTCCCCATAGTCCGTGGCAAGGGCTGTAACATTCCAGAACATTCTGAGAGCTTAGAGCTGACCGGGTTCTGCAGATCAGTGAGGTCCACACCCACCCACTGATGCACGCTCTTGACCTGAGTCTTGGCTTCCGCCCCCATGGCCTGGCTACCAAGGAGACAGACGCCCCCCCTTAATGGAGAGCCTGCTGCCTGCCCGGGTCTCCTCCAGGGCTACTGTCACAGGCACAAAGCAAGGACAGTGCCAGGACCTGCATCCTCTGTGGCAGCCTGGGTGTGGACGGGGGTGTGGCCTCCACCTGCACACTGGTGCTCACTCTGCCAGCCACGGTGTTCTGAGCAGGGGTGGCTCCAGGAGGCTGCAGCGGGCACCTGCGCCCTCTGGTGGCGGCCAGGCCCTGTGGTCAGTCAGGGAGTGCTAGGCCCATCGGTGCCTCAGGCGGGAAAGCCATCATCCTGGGGACACCACCTCTGAGAGGTGACACCTGACTTCCCAGGCAGCTGGGCCCAGCCCCTTGGGTGTGGCCTCTGTCCCTCTAGCAACGGGGGCTTCATAGCCCGGTGGGGCCCTAGCCACCCTGGTCATCTCAGACCTGAAGCCGCTCAAGGCAGTGCCCTGACCCTGGGGTGTCCCAGCTGGTGCTGGGTTCCAGCTGGCCTTTCTCACCAGCACCCCAGGTTCTCCAACCATTTCTTTCCACCAGGAGCCAGATAGTGAATATTTTCAGTTTCAGCCATTATTCAAGGAAGCGGCCACAGTGACGTGTAAACACACAGACCAGTCAAACTTCATTGCCAGACGGGCGGGCACCCTGGGTGTGCTGCCCTGGCCCCTGGTCCATGCCGCCAGCCGTGGAGGGGCCACACCGGCTCAGCAGGGCGGTTGTCCACACCCTCCAGTGTTCCCACCCAGGCAGCCCAACTTGCGGCGCTGGCCCTTCCCACAGTCTCCGCCCTGCCCCCGAGGCTCCCAGCGCTCAGGTCTGCCGGGACGGTGCTTCTTAGTATCTGGCAGTTTGTCCACGACGGGTGTACCCGCTCCGCGGTTACCTGTGTGAGCCTGTGTTCCTGTCCCCGGGGTGGCATCGTGAGGTCGGCAGCAGGCCCTTAGGGAGGCTCCCGGAGGTGCTGGAGCCCCGCTGTCAGCCCTGACTCCCGCCCTCCCTGCTTCCTCTGCTGCAGGGCAAGGACCTGCTGGCGCAGAAGCTGCCGCTGTGGCAACAGGCCTGCGCCGACCCCAACAAGATCCCGGACCGCGCCGTGCAGCTGCTGCAGCAGCTGGCCAGCAGCAACGGCGCCATCCTCCCCGGCACCCTGTCGGCCTCCAAGTCCAGCCTGGTCATCTCCGACCCCATCCCGGGGGCCAAGCCCCTGCCGGTGCCCCCCGAGCTGGCCCCGTTTGTGGGGGTGAGTGTTCAGCCTCCAGAAAGCCTTTGTGTGGGGGAGGGCAGCCCCCCTGCCGCGGTCGACGTCCCCGCTGTGGCCGGGGCTCCACGCCGGGCCCTCCTGCAATCCCGCGCCCTTGCCCCCTGTTCCCCGCAGAGGCTGTCCGCCCAGGAGAACGCTCCCATCATGAACGGCGTCTCGGGCCCGGACAGTGAGGACTACAGCCCCTGGGCTGACCGCAAGGTGGCCCAGTCCAAGTCCACGTCTCCCCCACAGCCTCAGACCAAGATGAGCGATTCCTACTCCAACACGTTGCCTGTGCGCAAGAGCGTAGCCCCGAAAAACAGCTACGCCACCAGTAAGGGCTCCGCAGGGGCTACGCCGGGGCCCCTGCCCCTCCCCGCCCACAGTAGCGATGACACACCTGAGGGGGGGTTGGGGGGCTCCAAGGCGCGCACATGTGTGTGTGCGCATGTGCCGCATCCTGGGACCCCTTTGAGACATCCATCCTGGGCTCTCAGGCTGCTCAGGGTCCCCGTTAAGTCTGGCAGGTGGTGGGGCGGGTACTGAGGGGCCGTCAGTTGACAATGGGACAGCTCTGCCCCATGGGCCCCTGGGCCCCTTCTGCCTGGCACATGCTCTCCCCCCCCCGGGGGGGCCTGGCATAAGCTTCCTGATTAGCCAGTGGGAAGGCTGAGGCTCAGCCACAGGGTGAGTGGCAGGTCTGAGCCGCTCCACATCCCCAGGTCCTTCCAGAACCTGAGCCCACAGGGCTCTGCCAGCCTGGCAGGTGTCCACCAGGATGCATGGTCCCTCCAGGCCCGCCTGGGGCCTCGGAGCCGACGGGAGGGTGCCCAGGCCCCTTCTTCCCCTCACGCCCACCCTGTCGTCCGGCAGCTGAGAACAAGACACTGCCCCGCTCCAGCTCCATGGCGGCCGGCCTGGAGCGCAATGGCCGCATGCGGGTGAAGGCCATTTTCTCCCACGCGGCCGGAGACAACAGCACCCTGCTGAGCTTCAAGGAGGGTGACCTCATCACGCTGCTGGTGCCCGAGGCCCGGGACGGCTGGCACTACGGCGAGAGCGAGAAGACCAAGATGTGAGTGCCATTTGGGCAGCCTTCTTGCCCACGGGCCTGGGGACACCGTCCCTGACCCTGGGCCCCTGCATCTCAGCGATTCTGGGCTCTTGTGAGACTGAGTGTCGAGGTCATAACATTTCACGGCCGAAAACCTGACCAGCACACACCAGACGGGCCTCTCGCTCACGGGGCACATCCAGCTCCCCTCACTCCCCACGTCTCCAACTCTGCCAGGGCCCCTGTGTTCCTGGCACCGTCCCTGCTGGTGGGCTTGTGGCTTCCCAATCAGTACAGGGCAGCCTGCTACCCATTCTCCGCCCCCACATCTCGGGGCAGAGCTGGGGTCCTAGGAGTCTGAGTTCTGCAAGCGGAGCCTTCGTGGCTTAACAACACCTGTGCCCAGCAGGCTGTCTGGCTCTTGCTGAGCCTGGGGCTGCCGGTCAGGGACTCCACCCTCCCACTGCCCCCATTGTTGTCTGGATGTGTGTTGGCGAGAAGGGGACCCCACTGGGGCACGGTCAGCCCCGACACCTCCCTGCCCTGACGGGAGGGGCTGGGCCCGGCTCTGCTCTGGCCTCCAGGCCGCTGCCGTCCTGGGAGGGGCTCCGAGCAGGGACCCTCCCTCCCAATCCTCCTCTGGTGTTAGTCCCGTGGCTCAGCCTGTGGCCTCTTGGGGCTGAGGCCCCGCCCACTGTTGAAGCGGCAGGATCTCCGCCTGGGTGCCGCTCACTCCGCAGCCCCTCGGGAGGCAGCTGCTGCAGCTTCCGTCCAGGGCCCGATGTACCCGGGAGGCAGGCTGAGGTGTCCTGGTCTCCGGGAGCGCTGGCGAATGTCCCCACCACGGACACGTACAGCCAGGCACGAGAACCAGCGGGACTTGGGGCCGCAGCCTGCCCTCACCGGAGCTTTCTGTTGCAGGCGGGGCTGGTTCCCCTTCTCCTACACCCGGGTCCTAGACAGCGATGGCGGTGACAGGCTGCACATGAGGTGAGGTGCTGCGGAGGTGCTGGCGGGGCCGTGGGGAGAGCGGGTGCTGCTGACTGCGGCTATCGGAGCGCCCTGTGTGCTGCACGTCCGAGGCCCTGGGCGCATGGCAGGGAGGTGCTCTGTGAGGGGGCCAGCCACTGTGCCGCCTGGGCAGCCTCGTTCAGTGACCGTCAGGAGGAGCTCTTCTTGCCCTATGCTGGGCCTAGGGCACACCCACTGCCATATCCTGCAGGCAGGGTATGTGGGGGGTCCCCAGCCATCTCCCACGGGTCCCCCAGGTCCTCCTGGCCCTCAGGAGGGCACAAGAATTGCTCCTGGAACTGCAGAGGGGCTGAGCGGCTGCTGGGAGGGCAGGGGTTGCCGCAGGACTCAGCCTCTGAGCTTCTTCCTGGCACACCTCAGTGCCCAGTCCAAGGGAGGGGCCCACGGGGTCAGAGCAGCTGCCACCTGGGCCACCGAGAGCATTCTCTCGTCACCCCCTTTTTAAGGGGTTGAGTTTGGCGTGGAGATGGGGCCTGAGGGGATCCTGGGCTGACTCGGCCCTGAGCGCCCATCCCCGTGCCCGCAGCCTGCAGCAGGGCAAGAGCAGCAGCACCGGGAACCTCCTGGACAAGGATGACCTGGCCCTCCCGCCCCCCGACTACGGCACATCCTCCCGAGGCTTCCCCTCCCAGACAGCCGGCACCTTCAAGCAGAGGCCCTACAGCATGGCTGTGCCCGCCTTCTCTCAGGTGAGCGCGAGGGGCTGAGTCCCCGGGCTGTGGAGCGCGGGCTTGGCCGCAGCCCCACACTGGCACCTCCGCTGGGAGGCCTGGTGCCTGACCACAGGCTTGGGTCGGGGGGTGGGGCCCTGAGACTGCCCGGACACCGCCTCTGGACAGGAGCCCGGGCGTCAGGGAGAACCTGGTGTCCAGGAGCCCCTCCCCGAGAGCATGGGACTCTGGCAGTCGAAGGTGCAGACGTGGCACTTGCCACTCCTGGGCTGGGATGTGGCCGGGACCTTCAGGCAGAGGCTGATCCGGCTGGTGGAGGCCTGGTGCCTCAGGTCACGGGGCCAGCCTGCTGGTCAGTGAGACACTCAGTCCCATCCAGCTTTGCCTGGCTTCATGGCACAGCTACCACACTGGGGGGCCCTGACCACTGCTCACAGCTCTCACTTCCCAGTCTCTGGGTTTGGTCTCGGTGCTGAGAGAGCTGAGGAGAGTGTCCCCAATGCCCCTCGATGGCCCCGGAGCCAGGCCAGGCTGGCTGGGGTTTGGGGGCCTGGGAACCAGTCCAGGCTTGCTCAGGCTGGGCTGCAGGTCACCATCGCTGCAGCCCCCTCTCCTTCCAGTCTGTCAGCCCTGCTTTCCCACCCAAATGTCACTGGTTTGGGGTCCTGGGTTTCTGGGGAGGGCCCTCAGCCTGCCCTGACTGCCAGGTAGCCCAGCCTCACTGCTCAGGCGCTCCTGCCATGGGAGATGTGCGGAAGGGGGTCATCAGGTGATCTGTCTTGCATGTGCCACGAGTCTGCTGCTGGCCAGACAAGGAGGCGTCCCCGTGATTGGGGAGGTCGCCTTTGTCCGTAGGGGAGGAGGCCTCTGCACCCTCAGCCACAGGCAGCACGACACCCTGGGGCTGGGGGCACCTGCCCAGCCAGCCCCGCCGCGCCAGTGCTCCTCGCCCCAGAGACCCCAGCCTGACCTGTTTCTGCCTTTCCTCCCAGGGTCTGGATGACTACGGGGCACGGGCCGTGAGCAGGTAAGGGGCTCTCAGAGTTGTCCTTGGGGACTGTGGGCAGTGGGGGGCGGTCTCCCCGAAGGCGGGGCTGGGGCAGCATCCTCTGGGATGCTAGCTGGAAACCGTGCAGTCTCCCCTCCGGGCGAGCAGGGCCCGGGCGCCAGTTTTCCGTCCCCCACACTGAAAGCCCCGGGCCTGTGAAGACCCCTAGGGCAGGACGCCCAGTCCTGAGGCTTCGGCCCAGAGTCCAGGGGCATCGCCGAGTGGGAAGGGGCCCCTCCTAGAGCTGCCTCCCTGCTCCCCGTGGGTGGGCGGGAGCAGGCGCGTCCCCGCCGGCCGCCCCTGCGGAGGGGCCAGGTCCCACCCGGCCCCTCGGGGCTCCCAGTGCTGCCCAGCAGGCCCTGCAGGAGCCCCTCCCCCGGTTCAGTGGCCCTGCGCCTCCCCCCCGGCGCCCCGACTCTGCTCACAGGCCGCCTGCCCAGACTCTGCTCTCTCCCAGCTCCTGGGCCTCTCCCGTGTCCCCCCCGGGCCAGGTGACCCCGACCCTGAGCTGCTGAGAGGCTGCCTGGGGGAGGCGTGCGGCCGGCAGCTGTCCTTGCTTTGTTTCACAGCGGCAGCGGCACGCTGGTGTCCACAGTGTGAGGACGCTGACCACGGGCAGCTGCTGCTCGGAAGAGCTTCCGCGCCCCCCCCCCAATCTGTCTGGTCTCCATCGGTTTCCTCCTCAGCTCTCGCTGGTTTGTTCTTGGGTCATTTTTCTTCCCCACCTGCTCCCTCTTGCCTTTTGGTTGGTGACCCCAGACCCTGAGATCCCCAGGGTCCATGGTGCTGCCCCATCTCTGCTCCGTGTTTACACGCCCCACACGTGTCCCGCCAGCCGGCAGCGTGGAGCGTGTCCTGGCCTCTGCCCCCCACCTGCCATGGCCACGACGCTCAGCCCCTTTCAGAGGCTCACCGTGAGCCAGCTCTGAAGTTTGAAGAAAAAGAAAAACCTTTAAAAAAAAAACCAAAAAAAACAGAAAAAAAACCTGAAAACAGGAAAAGGACTTTTTTCCTAAAAACAAAAACAGAAAAACAGATATGCATGGACTCCGGTGTACGTACTGTTATTTCTGCATCTGACTCCCCCAGCACCCGCTGGCGTCTGTCAGAACAGGGAAGGAATGGGGCTCCCAGAGGCCCACGGCCCTCTGGGCCCGTCCCGGGGCCACACCCCACGCGGGGCCTCCTGAGGAAGCTGGCGCTCCTGTGAGGGAGGCTGTGGCCCTGGCCCAGCCCAGCCCGCGCTGCCAGGCCGGGCTCCTGAGGGTTTCCTTCTCCGTGGACGCTGTTGGACCGTGTACAGAGACCAGAGCGTGGGTGCCACTTCAGGCGTGGCGACCGCACACAGCGCCCTGGTGGGAGGGGGTCGGGAGCAGGCACTGCCCGGCTGCACGCGGACATTCCAAAGACTCCAGAGACCACCCCACCCCACCTGTTCTGGAAATCGGTTCTTTAACCAGCCTCGTGAGGGAGCCTCGGCCACCCGGCCACACAGGGCAGGGGCCCGGCCAGACCTGGCAGGGCCAACCGTGAGGGGGGCTTTGGGCACTCCGCCCACACGCCTGCCACCCCCAGGGAAGCAGGCAGTCCCTGCCACCATCCCCCCTAAATGCTCTCATCTTTTTGTGTGTCTTGGTGGCTTCAGAAAGAGACACGCTGGACTCAGTGGCTACTGGTATTGCCTCCTCACACACTGAATCCGGGAAGCAAGTGAGGGGGCAGCCCCCGGCCTTCCCGCCACGGAGCCCCGGGAAACTGCAGACGCTCCTTTAATGATGAGTTAGCAAGAGCCGCCCGTGGACTTTGGACGTGGCCCGTGGATTGGGACGTGGCTGGTAGCGTTTGTGACGGAAGCCGCCCAAGACACAGACCGTTTTATACTTAAGGGAAACACAAAGCCAGAACGTGGACCTGTGTAAAAAGAACCTGTGTTGGTGGTCTAACCTTGCTAACAGATCCCAAATCCAGGGGACTCCACGCTCGATGGATGAATGTAGACCCAAAACCGCAAAACTTGTACGAAGATGTAAAGTGCTGAAGATACTTTTCCCGTTTCTTTTTTTTTAAAACTGAGTTGTGCCCTGTACTGCAGTGGTTTGAATAAAAGTTTTATTTATTGCATCAAGTTGGGTGTGGCGCCTCCTTCCGGCCCACTCGTGGATCCCACGTGGCCACCCCACAAGAGTGGTGCTGTGGCCTGCCCCTGTGGCTTGTGTCCCTTGCTCCTGGCGGTGAGCTCCAGCCCCTGGGCGTCCCCCACCCTGCACCAGCCTCTGCGCCCCCTCAGATCCCTCAGACCCACCCCCACTCATGCAACAACCACCCTTGTGTTCCCTTGCAGCCCCGATGTGGAAGTGGCCAGATTTTGAGCCGCCGTCTCAAGTTAGTAAGTGCCCCGTTTTCTTACGCTGGTTAGTCTGCGTGTGCAATGGCCCTGGACAGACCCTCTGGCCTCTGCCTGGCAGTCAGGGCAGGGCCCGAGGGTTGGCCGGCCTGCTCTGCTCAGGGCTCAGGCCTTTGCTTCGCCTCAGTCACTCTTGGGCTCGTGGATTTCCTGTCGGGGCTGCTCTGCTGCCCGCCTGTGGCTCCTTCCCACCGCTGGGCGCGGGTCTGGCCTGCCCTGTGTGTGGGTTTCTCTCCTGCCTCTGCTGGGTGCTTCCGCCACAATCAGGGTGGACCCGGTGATCAGACTTTGGGCTCCTTTGGCCGAGTGTCCCCTCAGACTGGCCTGTGGGCATATGTCGGAGCCTACCTGGCGGCTCCCGGGTTGGTGAGTATCGTAGCCCCAAGAGGGCTGGGAGACCAGGATGGGACCTGGGGACTGCTCCGTGGCTTTTGCCAGGCGAGTGCCGTAGGCATGTGGGAGCAGGAGCGCCCGCCTGCCCTGCTGAGGCGTTGCTGCCTGCTCTGCCCCACCCACCTGGCCTTGGCCCGCCCACCTGGTTCCAAACCAGGCCCTCAGCCGCCAGGCCTGGGTGCCCTCTTAGCTTCTCCAACACCCTCCTGGTGACAGCTCCTCCCGTCCTCAGAAAGCACTGACAGCCAGGAGGGGACATGGAGCCCACAGCTCTGGGTCCCTGGACCTCCCCTCAGGGTGGCCAGTGCTGCCCACCTGGCCCCGCCCCACCCCAAGTCACTGAGACGACGACCCCACGCAGCAGCATCCTGATCCTTGGTGAAGGATGGGATCGCCGACCCAGACCCCAGCAGGCCTGGGCTCCCGCTCTCCCGTCCCTGCCTGTGTTGATGAGCTGCAGTGTGAGTTCTGGGATGTCCTGGACACACGCTCCTGAAGTTTGGGGACACGGTGGAAATGCCTTTGTGGTTCAGCAGTGGTCGGCCGTGGGCCACCTCCTTCCCTGCCACCGCATCCCCTCCGAGTGGCCCGCCTGTCCCGCGGGAGCTGTGCTGACCGTGGTCCCTCTAAGCTGGCGGGGCCAAGCTGTCCGTGCCTCGGGAGGCACCCGGAAGGCGGAGGCTGGGGACCACGTCCCTTGGTGTAAGGCAGACCCCGGGGGCCCAGTGGGCATCGGGTGAAGCGGGCACACAGCACAGCGCCACTGGCCGCACAGTTGCCTGGCCCATGACTCAGCTGGTGGGTGCCCAGCACCACCTCTGGTTGAAGAACCCTGCCCAGCTCTGCCCAAGTTTACGGCCGGGAAGGGCTGAGATGATTCTGGAAGGGCTGGCGCTCTGAAGCTGTGGAAACCACTTCAGTTTGAAGACAAGACAGCTCCGGAGAAGACGACCGTGTGAGAACCGCCCACTTGGCTCCCCTGCTCCAGACGCACTGAAGACTGCGCTCGCCCGGGCCTGGGCTGCCCTCAGAACGACCGCTTCCCGTTCGCGCTGTGGACCCAGGGAACAGTTCTGGGCATCCCCTGACAGCCACAGCCACGTGTTTCCTGAGACTGGAGTTGAAAGTTGCCTGACTGCAGGGTCAGAGGCGGCAGGGATGGTGCAGTCAGGGCTCCCCATGCCCACAGTGCCCCTGAGGGCTGCCCTGGGGCACCAGGGTCCTGGAACGCCGTGCCCGCTTGGCCCCCTTAGCCCAAGACCCCAGACCTGCTCTGCACCCAGAGCCGACATCCAGTCTCCATGTAGAGGCTGCCACTGGTGGTACCCATCCGTGAACGCCTGCCCCGTGGCTCCTGGTGAGGGGACAGCTGTGACCTTGGAGCCTCCGCCAGGGGTCAGAGCCCCGACAGTTCTGACTTGAAGGGGACTGTGCCCCTGGGCTCCGCTTCCTGTGCCATGTTCTCAGCTGGTTGTACACCTGCCCGGTGCCACTGGGAGACAGGCAGTGACCAGCATCTGCAGGACGGACTCTGCAGTGGCCCCGGGTCCCAGTCTTGTCTATCTCACCATCTCAGTGCTGACCCCAGCCCCTGCTCGGGGTCACAGAGGTGCCCTCCCCCGGGGAGCTCATGAGCAGAACGTTCCAGAAGGTGATAGGTACTAGAGGGGGCAGTGCCCTTCCACCCAGGGTCTTTGGCCTGGGCTGTGAGGGGCTGTGGGAGGGAGCTGTTCAGGGGGCCTGGAATGTTTGCCACGGCCGCCGGTGTCCTCGCAACCTGCAGCATGGACGTGTGGGCGGCAGTGTGTAGGTGGCCATGACCGCACTGTTTGGGGGAGCAGATAAGGAAGGTTGAGTGGGAGGCCTGACACCTCTAGGTGGGGCCTTCCTGGCCCTACAGCTCCCCTGCAGCCCCTGTCGACGATGCCATTTGCCACTGACTCTCTCTGATGAGAAGTTGGTCAGCGGGAGTGTACTGTGCACTGCCCAAACCCACTGGCCACTCTGCCCATGGCTGTGGTCACACTGGAGCCATCCTTCCTCCTCTGGGCACAAGGTCTGTGCTCCTTCCTCCTCTTGGTCCTGGACTGTAGGTGGACAAAGCTGTCCCATTTGCAGCCCCCCAGGGCCTCCCACCATGACCCTGGTTGGGGACAGCCGTGGGCACAGAACCTTCCTTGAGAACCACAGTCTAGTAGAGGTGGCAGCCAGGGCACGGCCACTCTGTGCCACAGTCCCAGGGGCAGATGTCACTGGTCACAGCAGACCTGGCCTCAGGAACCTCCACGTGGCCCCCGCCCACGGCCGGCTCCACGGAAGCTCGCCTGCGCAGATCGGAGCTGAAGAGGCCCAAGCGAGCGGGGCCTGAGACCCCATGTGGCTGGAGCGGCCTCTCGTCGGGCCTGTGATGCCCAGAATCAGAAGAGCTTAGCCACCAACTGTCAGATGCCATCCTGCAGACGCAGAAGCCGAGCCTTGATGGTCCGCTCCTCTCAGGACCTCATCCTCGTGAAGTCAGTCCAAAGCGTCCCCATTCTTTAGGAAACACCAGGCGCTCAGGAGCACGCAGGTGACCCCCACCCTCCGGCTCTCCCTGGGCGCCCTGCACAGAGCACCCGCCACAGCCGAGCGCCTCCGCCCAGGTAACGGCTCCAGGGCTGAGTGCTTCGCCGGGAGTGTGGTCCTGTCCCTGCCCAGCCCTCTGTGTCCCACGTGCCATTGTGCTTGTCACCCCTGGCTGCCTGCCGCCGCCCAGCCTGCCATCCCGAGGCTCCGGGGACGCCGAGGACCAGGCCGGGTGCTGGCCCCCGTGTTCATCTTGTTCCATCTCAGTCTCTTGTCTGGCCGGTCCATCTGTCCGTCCACTGTGGCCTCTGGCATGCAGGGGAGGGTGCAGCTCCCTGGGGTGACAGGTGGCTGCCACCTCAAGGGGAGGTGGTCAGCCCCTCTGCAAGGGGCCATCACCCCGACGGACCTGTGGCTGCCGGTGTGTGTGGGCCTTGTCTGTCCTGTCACCCCTGGGATGCCAGGACGCATGGGCTGGGCTGTGTGGGCTGCTGGGCTGTGTCCGTGTGTCACAGACCTGTCCTCACAGACAGGCAGACAGCAGCTGGGTGGCTTGACCTTGTGGGCCCCTCTCCAGACTTGGATGCGGGCCCACTGGGGACTGGGAAGGAACTGGGTCCCTACCCCAGAGCAGATGTGGAGGGTGACGTAGGCCCTCCCCGTCCCAGCCCACCCTGCCCTGGGAGGGCTGACGGTTCCTGTGGGGGTGAGCGGAAAGTGGTGCATTAGGGTCAGTGGCCCTGCGGGTGAGGCCCTCCCTGGCTCTCCCAGCAGCCTCCATCCCCTCCCCCCACTCCAGCTCTGATCTCAGAGGCTGGGCTTTAGGGTCCAGGTTGGTGCCATTTGGGGTGCTGGGGCACAGGGCAGCCTGGGCGGCACAGCCGCTCACAGCATCCCCTACTAAAAGCCGTGTCCTCTCCCCCCCAGGAATCCCTTCGCCAGCGTCCAGCTGAAGCCCACAGTGACCAATGACAGGTCGGCCCCCCTCCTCAGCTGACAGCCACACCTGCACCCGCCGCCTGCCGGCCCGCCCCACCTGTGAGCTCTTTTGCTATGACTGACTGCGGGGCCGCCCTTCAGAGCATGTTCCTTCCACACCCTTCACCTGCCTGCCCTGCCCCCACTTCAGCCTGGCCTGGGCTGGACCCCGGCTACTCCTGCAACAGGGCACCCGTGACCCCGGAGAACTGAGGGGGGCTGGCCGGATCCGGGACCTGCGGGCTGGCCGTGGGGCCACAGAGCCCTCGGGTGAGGGAAGGACATTCCATCAGCTTGTGGCTGGAAAAGAGCCCAGCTTCCACGATGCTCTAGCTCCTAGATGTCTGGTCAATAAACAGGCTGCCTACCTGTGCCCTCTGTGATCTGTCATCTGGGGGGTGGGAGGCCTGGGGCGCAGGGAGGAGAGAGCCTGCCATCCTCTTTGCTGGGTGAATATCTGAGCACCTAACTTCCTGGCAGGCCCTTGGCCAGGGCTCTGCCGGGCCCTTCACACCTGCTGGCAGTATTGGGGGACCTCTCTGTCCCAGGTCCTCCCCACCCAAGCCCCCATTCCCATCTCGGGCTGCTCCTGGGGCCACCACTCTCCTCCCTGTCCCTGGGGGGGTGGTAGGCGCCATGGCCTGGGTCCCTGAGCTGTGAGCCATTGGGGGGGTGTCTGCCACAGCATTCCTGGATGGGCCTGCCCCCCTCCCTGCCCCACCTCTTCCCCATTTCAGCTGAAATACCAGATTTTAAAAACTTTATTAGACGTTTATGACTGAAGTACAGCACCGTGCCTGGTGCCGATGACAGCAGTCATCGGGAGAGAAGTTCCCGGCAGAGCCACTGCTCCCAGAACCTCCAAGGAGGGTTCCAGAGCCCTGAGCTGCCTGCAGCCGGCCCACGCCCAGGACAGGAAGCAGAGGGCCCAGGTGGGCACACAGGCCTTTCACCTCACAGAAGCTGGAGATGGGCCAGGTGGGGGGAGGTGGGGTCATAAGGCAGATGCTTGGGGTGGGGACGCATAGGAGCCCTAACGACTCAAAACTCCTGCCTCCCAGCTCGCCACTGCCCCTTAGTGCTGAGGGACAGCCTCGGCCCCCCAGGAGGCAGTGGGGAAGGGCTTCCTGGGGAGGTCTGTGCCCCTTCCTCACCCTTCCTTAGGCAGGGCCAGGTGTGGGGCAGGAAGAGAGGGCGGCAGGGATCAGCCCTCCACTCTGCTCTGGGCAGACCCCACCTGGGCACACTGGGGGCCAGGTCGCTGTCTCCCTTCCCCCAGGTGTGCCAGGGGCAGTGGGGGAAGCAGCAGCCTCCCTCCTGCAGTCCCTGCCCCCCTCCCCGTGGTCAGGAGAGACTACTGCGCCCCCAGACAGAGCCAGAGCTGGGTCCCCCGCTCCAGCACAGCCAAGCCCCCTCCTGCCCAAGGATTTATCTGAAACCCCCCCCCCCAAAGAAAACACGCTTAGCATAAAGGCTTTTTTCTTAACTGATTTCTCTTAAAAAACAAACACGAACAAGGAAATCATTGCACCAGCATCCTAAGCCTCAAACAAACAAGAAACAAACACAAACCCAGCCGCGCCCCCACCCACACTCCCGGAGCAACGATAAACTTGATAAACTTACGTCTCTTTGGCAACAATAACTTAAAATCCTCCGTCGTTTCTGTTCGCTGGACAATCGTGGGTACAAAAATACTCCCTGTGCTTCCCCACCCCCACCCCCTCCCAGCTCCACCCCTTCTGCGTTCCCTTCCCTGCCGGCAGGGGCCCCGACACCGACCTTGGGGGCAGCCCCCACTATCTTTTGGCAGCTGGGCAGGGCTGTGCAGTGCCCTGCAGAGGGGTGCTGCCCACACCAGCCAGCAGAGGGCACCTCTAGAACGTGGCCGAGGTGGCAGGCGTGGGGCCTGAAAGCCCCCCCATCTTTCAAGCTGCCCCCTTGGCTCCAGGAGGGGGACCCAGGCGGGCGTCAGCCCAGACCCTGTGGGGAGGGAGAGCTTATGGGTCAGTGAAGGGGATACACAGCCACAGACTGAGGTAAGGGTGGTGGGGCCCACGAGCCTGGGGTCCTCTCCTTGCACTGGGCAAACCCAGAAGTAGGCTGAAGAGGCCAAAGGGACAGGGAGAGGCCGTCCAGTGGGCCTGTGCCAGCTCTCTCACCCTGCGAGGGGGCACAGCATCCTGCGTGCATTGCACAGCAGGGGCCAGTGGGCAGTGTGCAAGGCCCCCCAGCCACGAGCAGGTCCTCTGGCCTTAGAGGCCAAGCAGTCCAACAGAGGCGGCCAGGACAGAGGGGCAGCTGCAGGGTGGGGTGCTGCTGGGTGGGGCTGTGGGGCATCCCTAGGGGACAGCAGAAGACCCAAGTGTCCGGGAGGAATCCTGCCCCCAGGGCAGCACAGGCTGGCGTGCATGGCCGGTCCACTGTCCAGAGCGCTGCATGGGACCGGAAGCTGCTGCCAACCGACCATCGCCAGGACGGCAGCCCCCACTCACTCTGTCACCATCCTCGCCGTGCCTGGAGTAGGACCAGCAGGGGCTCCCAGGGGGCCGCCGGGCCTTAGGCTTCTTCACAGCTGACCCCAGCACCTCCTGCAGGGCCTGGCAAACAGGAGGCGCCAAGGAGAAGATGCTGAGCACAGCAAGAGCCCCCCAGGTCTCCCACCTGGCCTGATCCCTGGCCTAGGGCCACCGACCAGCTGGGGCTGCAGCCCTCAGCCCCTTCGCTGTCCGCCTGTCTCGGTGGGAGCTGGACCCATTTCTCTTCCCACTGAATCACCAGCACCCAGACCAGGCCAGGGTCTGACCCCCGAGCCCTCCGAGCCCTCCTTTCACTAGTGGGGAAACTGAGGCTACGGCTGGAGAGCGTCACGCACTGGCCTCCAGGTGACCTGCTGGTTTGTTCAGGGGTCCATTCAGGACACGGTGTGTGCAGGGACAGGCCAACAGGCCATGGCAGCGGGACAGGGCTGGGCCTGCCTGGGGGACAAGATGACCAGTAGGCGTCTGAGGGGAGGTGGGCTTTCAGGACTGGCAAGAACTTGGCTGGGGAGCAGCCTGGCAGGGCCAAGCCCACCTGGTCTGAGGCTGGCAGGGTGCAGCGCCGACGGAGGCGGGGGCTAAGGCCCCTCAGGAGGGCCCCCCAGGGCCCTGGGCCTCCACCATGGAGCTGCGGGGCGAGAGCCCTCAGGTCCGAGGGGCCCTGGGTCCTGAGCCAGCGGGGGCAGCCGCTGAGGCCGACCAGCAGGGCCTGGAAAGGCTCTGGTGGGAGAGGCTGCCGCAGGTTTTGGGGGGCTAAGGTCGGGAGAGGGCAGGGTAGGGGGCGCTCAGTGTCCAGCCTGTCCCTCTGGAAAAGCAAGGAGACGGGAGGCCTGGGCGCCAGGCAGCGTCCAGTCTCCGCCCGGAAGGCAGGGGCCAAGCCAGACACGCCTACGCGTGACCGGCCTCTCGGGTCCCAGTTTCCCCGCCTGAAAACGGAGATCGTGCATTGGAAAGAACAAGCGCAGGGGCTGGACACCCAGCAGGTGCCCCCCCCGGCTGCCCGCTTCACTGGCCTGATTCGGGGTCCCCTCCCGTCAGCCCCGCCGCAGCCTCACCTCCCACGGAGCCCGAGTCTGAGTCCGAGACGTGCGTGATGGAGAAGCGGGAGGCGCGCGCGGGCGCGGGCGAGACGGTGAAGCGCGAGAAGGGGCTGCGCGGGGCCGGCTTGGC